TGGGTTGAAGCCTCAGAAACAGCCGATGCAGCACCTCCAGCAGCCACTGGGGAATGTGCTCTGCAGCGTGTCATCACCATGCCCCAGGGAAGGACACACCACTGTGCAAAATGGAGAGGTGCCTTCTTTGCCTTCTGCGCGAACTGCTGTGCAAACTGCTGCGTCTGTTCGCTGCCTCTGTTGGCTGCGCTCTCTGTCCTTTTCTCTGAGTTCAAAGCTATGCCGCATTCCTCCTTCCATCTTTCAAGCTCATTTCACTCTGTAAAAATACATCCCTCTTATCTAAAAATCTTCTTCAAGTTTTCTTCAGAGCTAGGATTTTTTAGAAAGGATGAAGGAGAAAGAGAGGAAAAAATATTTAAAAAACTAAGTAAAAAGTAGAAAAGCTTGAAGGAAGAGCAAGCAGATGATATTTCTAATTAATCTTTTTGGTTTTTTTTTTTTTTGCTTTTAAATGTAGAGAAACCTTTGGAGGGCATGGGTCCATCCGTACAGAAAAGAGACCATGGGTGCACTGGATCTTGGAGGAGCTTCCACTCAAATTTCTTTTATCTCAGAGGATTTTCAGGATAACTCCAATAGCACCTTGCATGTGAAGTTGTATGGTTATGACTACAATGTCTACACTCACAGCTTCCAGTGTTATGGAAGAGATGAAGCTGAGAAAAGGTTGTTAGCATTGCTGCTCCAGGTATGTTTAAGAACCTTTGCTATGCTGCTCTTGCAGGTGTTCTGTAACTCTCTGAGAAGGTTCTTGGGCTTGTATTCTCTTCCCTTTGGTGGAGTTTAGAGAGCTCAGTGAGAGCTCTGTTGTGCGTAGTTGTAGACAAGTGCACCTGCGTTTCACATAAAGATCTTCATCTTTGCTGAAAAGTTGTTGGGGTCTGGGTTGAGTGTTGTTTGATTTGACAAAATGGTCCTACTAGCCCTATGAGTATTTTGCTGATCTTGCCAGTAATGTTTTTGTGAAAGGAGCGTCTGTGAATTACAGTGATCAGCAATGTTGTAATGATCCGCTATGGCAGAGAACAAGAATACATGCATATGTGGTTTAAAAAAATCCCTGTAGTAAATGTCAGATTAATTCTTTCTGAGTAACATTTATTGCCTGTCCTCAGAAGTCAAGAGCCAGTTCCAAAGTGGATAATCCATGTTACCCTCAGAATTATGAGACTACATTCACAATGAAGTACTTCTATGGCAGCCTTTGCACGCAGTCTCTGAGACCAGCAAATTATTACCCGAACCAGCTTGTGAAATTCCATGGAACAGGAGACCCAGGTCTGTGCCAGGAGATAGTGTCTTTATTATTTAACTTCACTGCTTGCAGAGACAGAGGGGACTGCCCATTCAATGGAATCCATCAACCAAAAGTTAAAGGGAATTTTGTGGTAGGTTTGCGAACACAGCATTTCTTTTTGAGCATTTCTGTTTTGCTTTTGATTTCTGTAGTTCTGAAAGTAACAAGCCTTTCATCCTCTCCACTTCTGTAGGCTTTCTCAGGATTCTACTATACAATTAATGCTTTGAATTTATCTGGACACTTTTCCCTGGCAGACTTCAATTCAAGCATGTGGTTTTTCTGTGCACAGAGCTGGGTCCAGGTGGGTACTTTTCCTGGTATCTGTAAAAGGGAGATATGAAAAGAGCATGGCATGAAGAAGTATTCAGAACTTTCTAAAAAGTCCGTATCAGCCTTAATATTTGCTTTTCCACTATGTTTCAAGCCATGCATTATTTCTAGGATGATTAACCTTTCACAAAATCACAGAATGCTTTAGGTTGGAAGGGACCTCTGGAGATCATCTAGTCCAACCTGCCTGCTCAAGCAGGGTCCTCTAGAGCATATTTTGGACTAGGTTTGAAAAAATATTCCCCAGAATTCTAAGCTGGGTTTCCAGCCTATAGTGAAATGTGGCCAAGCAGTGTGCGCATTTCCCTCCTTTGGTTTCTGAGCTTAGTACAGCTGAAATGTCATGGAGGAATTAAGGGGTGTTGCAGGTGAATATATGTGGGTGCACGTTTACGTATCTTGGGGAGTAAGAGATTGCTGTGACAAAAGCGTGTAGAAGACTGATAAATCAGGCCAATTTAAACTTTAAAACAAAACTTTGTTAGACTGACATTAATTAACAACACAAATTGATCATACTCGTTATCAACATTATCGCTATGTATTCAGAGCAGTTAGTACTTAACAATTCTACCCTATATTAGCTATGATTATACCATACCACGGAGCTGATGCAGTGTAGTTAGCGCTGATGCCTGAGGTCCTTGGTAGATTTAGCTGCTGAGGTGATCATCAAGGAGGGAAGTAGGAATGAGCATCTTCCCCCTGCCCCCAAAATTCAGGATCTCATCCTTTTATAAAAAACCGTTGAGTTTTTAGGTAGTTCCCAGCTCTTGGCCTCCTCCTGGATTACACTCTGCCCCAGGCATGAGGCCTAGGGTTCCACTGGCCGTAGCAGGTGCCTTATCCTCTTTCTCTGCTGTTTTGTTACTTGCTTTGTGGCTTCTTAAAGCCACAGCAGTCCCTCCCCAGCTCTCAAGGTTCAGCTTCTGCAGGGACCAGTAAGTGAGCACTAGTGAGTTCTGTTTTCGACCAGTGCCTGCATATTCAAGGCTTTTGCTGTTATCTGGTATTTAAACTGTGCATCACAACAAGAGACACCAGGTACCAAGCTCTGATTCACACAACAAGTTTACACAAGCTGATAAAGAGGCTTGCAGACCACGATTGGGGTCTTGCCCAGTTAGCACAAGGCCCAGTTAGCAAAAGGCACGTGGCCTGTTACTGTTAATGGCAATACTGTTTTTAGTGGGTTGGTACAAAAGTGCTTATACATTGTTTACCAGTTATGCTATATTAATGTGCTAATGTCTAAGTTCAAAACAAGCTAATGCTAATTAAATTCTGCTTGATGTGCTTCCACTTTTATGGGTGCAACAGGCCTCTGCTTTGGCTACAGAGAATTGTCTGTATTAAAAGACATATAGGGATTTTGGTTCTTTTCAATAAGAAACGTTTTTTGTCACGGAGGAGAGCACTATAAAGAAGCCTTGAACTCGGTTCTCTGAACGCTCTTGCACTATTCAATATAGATCCTTGTAGTTTTTGTAGCCCATAAATGGTATGTTTTCCAGGAGCTCTTCTTTTCCTGTATTTGTGCCTAGCTTGTTGGTATAATAAATAGTACATGAAAGATCCCACTTGACTGACTTACAGTTTTAAGCTGCAGGTTTCTAATTCTCACCCCTTCCTGGTGCTATCTGAAATCACTACCATCTCTTCAAAGGACTTAGGAAAATAGTCTATAAACCAAATAGTGTTTTCAGTAGCATATATGGTGTTTGAAGTAGGTATCTGCTTTGTGCAGCTGTTATGCAGATTAAGGTGGGATCCAGTCTGGATGGAATGAGAAGCTTCTGTTAGGCAAGTGTGTTTGATATCCCACAGAGGAAGATTCGGGCAGCCTTTCTCCACTGAGAGTTCAGGGAATGTAGGTGCTTAGTTTATGTAGGCTTGCTAAGTGCTTTAGGGGTAGGCCTCTCAGTTTGACTCTGACAGTAGTGTATAAATCGGGCACCTAAGTGAGTGAAATCCACTGCACTGGATATTCCTCATGCATTTAGGGCAGGAACGTGAGGGACTGCTTATTGTCATTACGGTTCTGGGTAAGACCTGTGAGACAGCTTTAATAGTCAAGTTTCTTCTTCTTGTAAAGGGAGAAAATTACCTTGGAAAAAATCAGTATTGGTTTTCTTGCAGTTAAGACTAGAAGAACTTAGACTTTTCATTTACTAAGTAGTGACCTGATCCCATTGAGGACAAACTTGATGCCAGTCTTTCCATTGACTTGATTTGGAATGAACCTTGGCTATGAAGAATTTGTACTGGTGGAAGACAGATTTATTTTTCACTTTTGTCTTCACAGAGATCATCTTAAGGAAATACAGTCTGCTTTTTTTTTTTCTATTTATTTCTATTGCTAAGAACAGCAAGTAAACCAAATTGCCCATACTGCCAATCCATGGTCTTTTCCATACTGCTTTCATGCAGCAATTCTTCACTTTCCAGCTTGCTTAATGTGTCTATGTGTGACTTTTAGCATTCTCATGGGCTGCTGTGTATATGCTGTGATACTTGGGTCCTGCTCTTCTTGTAACCACTGGGATTCTCAACAGCACTTTCACATCAGAGTGGGAGATCAAAGCTTGCATCTGTGAATTCCAGATGATATTCATCTTTTAAATGGGCATCTCAGGCCAAAATTGCCATCAGAAGAGCAGTCCTGTGATGTAACATATGCCATGTAATTTGCAGGCATCTTTATTTAATATAAGTTTCTTAACATTGTACATTTTTATTTGTGCAATATTCCTTTTGCCCTGTTCTGATCTCAGCTGCGTTGGTGTGAGCCTTGAGTAAATTGACAGATGTATTTTAAATTTGCAGGGAGATACCTCAGATCACCAAACTGGTTTCTTGTTTGTATTCATTTGTTGCTAGCGCGTTTCCTATTGTAATTTACCATCATCAAAGTTTGATAGCTGGCTACCACATGCAAGGTTGACGCTGTCTGTGATCTTCTTAAGGAGATTTGTGGCTGCAGTTTCCTACCACAGTTTTAACCATGCTGTAAAGATGACAGAAAATTTAGGAACCATAACATTCCCAATCTTTTATGTGCAGTTTTATGTTTATTATCACTTTTTACCACATGAACTATATCACTGTCAGGGTCTTTTCACTGTAAATCTTCATGTCTAGCTGTCTACAATTTTACTTGGTGTTTCTGAGAAATGCTAATAAATTCTAATTGGAGTATAACGTATTCTTAGTTATTAAAAAAACAACAATTGTTTGCCGTGATTTACATGTTTTACAAAAACCTTTTGTTTTCAGCTCCAGTTTATGCTGCCTAAATTTGAAGAAACATATGCTCGATCCTACTGTTTTTCAGCAAACTTCATTTATTACTTGCTTGTACATGGCTATAAATTTGATGCAGAAACTTGGCCCCAGATACATTTCCAAAAAGAGGTGAGTAATAATCATTTCCTCTTACTGTTATTTTAATCCAAAGAAACTTAGAAGGAGACAGAAGATGCAGCAGCCTACAAAAACATAGTGGTTGTAGACAGCCTTTGTAAATGGTTGTCAAATATTTGGCATAAAACAAAGCCACTTTTCAAGCTTCAATACCAATTCCAGGCTGATTCCAGGGGCTGCAACATTATTTGGTGACGGTATATCCTTTTAAGGAGCTTTAAGAAAGGATCAAATAATACTGTTTTAAACCTTGCCCAGTCTCTTAAAATACTGGCTTGCTCTGGGCTGTGATCTGCCTGGGACACCTCTCCAATCAAAGTCAATTTGAGCTAACTCTGCTGGGGTGGACAGGAGAAATGGCTACAGAAGAACTCTTACTTTTCCATCTCCTCATAGAGCTTTGGGAGAATGAGCAGAGCTGGTTTGTAGCTGGTGAGTGGTGATGAGGACGTGGGGGAGTATCATCAGGCACACCATCTGTGTTGAAATCTGGTACTCTGGGATAAGAACGCGTACTGGTGGGGTATTGGCTTTCATTTGGCAGACCCGGGAGGCTTACAATAATGTTTCTCTGTCATGGCTACATTTCTCTCTCGATTTTGCTCCTAAAAACTGGAGTACTTGGGATGAGGCTGTATGCTGATTCTAAAGCTACTACTAAGAAATTTTTGCTTCCAAGTCAGAGGGCGTGACCCATTATGTAAGCTTGGCTGTTACATGAGGAAGTGCCCTACAGTCTATCTGTCTACTCTCTGCTGCTGTACAGAGTCTTATTGTAAAACACAGTCCCAGACTATCTTGTAATCTCCATACAGAGTTTAGAAGTGCTTCAGTGCTTGCACGTAAGAGCAACAAATGAATAGGCTGTGGGTCTTCATACAAGAAGTTATTAAATGCAGGGCCTGCTGACAAACTGTCACTGAGAGATCATAAACAGCATTTCCTGAGCAGTCATACTCAGTTATGGTGTATTAAGGAATCAGATAGGTTTATCTTGCCTTTTTCCTTTGGTGAACAGCTATTAGCAGCTCTGAAGAAGTGTTCAGAGATCAGCCCTTCAATCAGAAAATCAGCATATGGTTTACTTTGCGATCTTAATCTGAATTTGGTGGGGGGTGGATTTGTCTTGTCTTTTACATAAATCTGGTGTTGGCCCCAGCAGATAGGAGCAGCCAAATACAGCAACATTTTCCTGTATTTAGCCAAGACTACAAAAATATTTAGGAAAAAAAAAAGGCTTATTTAAAATTAACATGTTTGTTACCTAAATTTTGCATTGAAATAAAATGAAACTTCTGAAAGGTAAGACCACATCCTCTTAACTAGATTTGCCCTTCAAAGAACTAAAAGTAATAAGGTCCAATGTAACTGATCAGTTAAGCTACCCCAGATATAAAAGCACAATCGTCTTGAAGAATATGTATCAAAAAGGTTTTTAGTTTGGTTTGGTTTGTTTTTTTGGGCTTATGCCAAACACGTATCTCCTTTTAGTTAGTGAATGCAAAGCAAGGAAAAGAACCTTAATCACATGCCCAGATCTGGGCCAGATCTAGAAGATCAGAAGAGAGGGATGACCTATAATAAAGGTGGAAAGTCAAATGAATTTGGGATAGCTGGCTGCTCAGGAGCAAGAAGTTCCTCAGGAACTGCAGTTATTTAAAATTTGAGAGAGAGTTGGCAACATCAGCTGTTCAGCTTTTGGAACCTATTATTCTTGACTCTGAAGTTCATGGGAGTAGGACACTTTTATCTGTATTTCAGGTTGGTAACAACAGTATAGCATGGTCACTTGGTTACATGCTAAGCCTCACCAACATGATTCCAGCAGAAGGCAAGTTGATCCAGTTACCTCTGAAACCTTCTTTGTTCACTGGGCTCCTCCTGTTCTTCACAACTATGGCATTGTTATGTCTTATCTTCCTTGTTTATTTGTGTATTGTACCATCTAACCAGAAGAACATCAGTCATGTTGAACAAGTATTTACTCCAGAGTGAACGAACTTTTTAAAGACCAAACAAAAATATTTTAGCGCTATTAAGTTATGTAGAATTTTATTTTTGAAAGTTGAAGGAGAAATAAAGACAGGGGTCTTGGGGACCAGAAACGTAAATACAGGAGACAACAGACATGAAGGCATCTGTGATATGGTGAATTGGAGTGCTTTTGAAAGAATTGTGGCAATTGTTGCTGTAAAACTAGTTTTTTCCGGAGTTCAGCAGAGAAAATGTGGACGGATACTCTACTTTGCTGGATGAAGGATTAATAGTCTTTTCCTGCCAGGTATGTGTTGATTTCTGTCCATGAACTCTCTGTTAACTAGCCAACTCTAGTTGTGATGCATTTGGTCAGGGGTGGCTATTGTTCAAAGACAAAATTAAAGAAAAAGTCAGGAGGAATTGTGGGAGAAGAGAATGTGAATGTTCCCATTTGTAGTGCTGACACTAAAAAAAAACCCAAACAGGGAACAGCTGGGAAAGAATTTTCATTGCTGTTCAAAATGGAGTGAGGTCTACTACATAAAGGCATAATAAACTCCTGACAACCCTCAGGACTTTCAAGCCCATTTTGAAACTGAGCTGTATTTTTTTTTTTTTTTAAGTACAATAGTGATCTCGGAAAGCCTCTGTTACGGTACCTAAGATTTGCATTGAAGGTGGAACAAAATCCTTTCACATTTCAATAGCTGAACCTAATTGTAATGATGTCATAGTTACCTCCAGACTGCAACAGTTTTCGGTATCTTTTTTTTAATTAACTTTCACAGAAGCATTTTTTTGTAATTTCTCATACTGAAACGTTGACTTGTATTCCCTGTTTTGCTGATCTCAGACAGTCATAGTCAGTACAGACTTGTCTTAAACATGTTATTTTGACTGTCTGGATAGAGTCTAGGACATGGGACCTTCTGAAACATTAACGTGAGTGTGCCAAAAGTTAAATTCAGCCCTTCATTCAAGGTCAAGAGAATCTGGAGCCAGACTGCAGGCAGAGATAGGGCCAGCAGAGCACTGTCTAGTGGGTTCGGGAATCCACTACACAGATCCACTAGAATCACAGCCACTGTCCTAAGCTGTAGTGCCTCGACGAGCCTTTCTACTGCCCCAGCCTCGGCGTTCCTTCAGCATCATTGGGGTCTACCAGGCAGATGCTTCTGTCAAGGGCATTAACTCCAAAGCTTTCCTGGGAGTGCTGTTGCCTTCATGCTCTGAATAGCTGACTTCCTTCAAAGCCTAGGCCTTCTGCCCCGAAACTTTCATTCTTATCCCCTTAAATTATAAGACTGCAATTTTGCCTGCAGCCCAAGAAGCCCTTCAAGATCAGTACCCCTTTTACCTGCCCGTGTTTTGTATAGCTTTGGTCTTCCTGAGTTGGCTTCTGAACGAAACCTTGAAAAAGCCTCCTACCATGTCATCTACGATCTCTTCCCCTTCTACAGTGCTTCCATTAATTTCTCTTACTATTGCCTTGGTATAGTCTGAAAGGCTGTGAGGGGAAGATGTCTTTGGAATTAGCAGAAAGAAGGGATTATTGTATTGTTGAAGACCTGCAAGAGGAGAAATGAGCATCTCTGCTTCACTTCCCTCCCCACCTTCCGCCATCTCCTGTTGCTCAGATTCAGTACCTGCATAGAGCTCTGTTCACCCAATGTATTTCCCCAAATCTCCTACAAGCAGCTTCTGGCAATCACTTAAATACATTTCTCCCTCTCTGTCCTGACAGGATTGCTTCCCTCTATGTGCCAGCCCCCTTGCTTGCATCCTTGCTCTTTCAGGTGCTCGCACATGTTGCATTGAGCTTTTCAGTATGAGAAAGTATAAATTAAAAGGGAGATTGCCATAGTCAGGATACTGCCAACTGCCTAAAGCTTGTGAGGCCTTGCGTATAGTAGTTTCCATGCAGGTTTGTTGCATGTAAGGGATCTACTTGCTCATGCATACACTCATAATTCAAGCTAACCTTGGATTATGAATTCATACTTCATAATGTGTTTTTTATCCCTGCTTCACCTATTCCCCATAGTGATTAGGTTATGAGATTGGAGAAGAACGGTGGCTATTTTTACCTGTGAATAACTTCAATTTGTATCTTTTGTTTCTGTGTTATCCTGTTGCTTCCTTTTTCTTTTCACAAGCTGCTAGATGATTTAAAAGGAAATATATGGACTTTCAGAGGACTGGCAGTGAGGTCTTTGTTCCTTCCCTGTCAGTACACTATTGTGACTTGCCACTCTCAGTGGAGTAGCAGTACCTAAAACAAGGCAAAAGGTATTACAAGGTGCTGAAGTACTCTGTGGTGCCCAGGTTGCATCTGACAGAACATAAAAACTTAGTTCCGAGTGCACTGGACATCAGAGTTTGGTATAAAATAAAAGCCTTATCTTCTGTCTGCTGGATCTAGAACTGCAATCAAGAAGGAAAAAGGGAGCTGATAGGCAGTTACAGAAAGAAGCAGATGTTGAGCACTGAAATGTTTTCTTCAGCTGCCAGTATCTGATGATAATGGTATTCTGGGAAATTTACCTGCCCTACAAAATTTTTGTTTTGTTTGAAAACAGTAGTGCTGTTCAGATGTGTGCTTTTGCAAAAATGAAAGAATAGGTGTATGCTGAGAAGATCGCCTCATTATACTTGTCTGAGTTGGCAGCTAAAGAAGTAAATTTGTTCAAAATTTGGACTTGCAGATTTGCTGGGATAGACCTAGCATCTGTTTAAATAAAGCTTTGCCTCCATGCATCACCTCCTCTTTTTCTTCTTCACTACTTCCCTCTTCTCCCTATTTATATAATCTTGTACAGTATTACTGTGATACCCATCCTGATTTAGAGCTCAGTCTTATGTCTCCTGTCTGTTCTAGCCAGGAAAGCTGACGCTATTCAACTTCCACCAGCCAGCTGCACCACCTCAGCTTACTGCTTCTTTCTGAGCCTGCACCATGATTACAGTTTAGCGTTCAGGTAAAAAGCATGGCTTAGACACACAGCCTGCTTGGCTGTCCTTGTTTGTACTGTGGTTACTTCTGGAGGAGAGGTGGGGCACTTGGAATGGTAATCACTTCAGTCACGCTAGCTAAATCCTCCTGTAAGCATCAGGCAGAACCTGATTTAAGCTGGTAATACTGTCCTGTTGTCTATAACTGGACAATTCTGTTGGGAAAGTCAGTAAAGGGCTGAGGATTTGGGAATATATCCAAACTATACCTTAAAAAAAAATCTTTTTATACTCTTTACTGCCTCCTTATGAAAACAAATAAAAATAAATTGTGAAAAACTAAGTCAGGTGTATTCTTTTTCATCTTTTGCTCAATACCGATATTTTCATCCTGGTAGGCAAGTTATTCTTGTTAGCGGATAGAAATCTCTGAAATGCTTTTCTGGGGAATGGAAATTTGCAAGCTACAAAACTAATCCTGGGAGATTTTGGAACGGAGAGTGCTCACTACCCCCAGAATCCACATTTTCAGTGAAGGAAACCCTGGTGATTAAAACCAAGCCACTATTTTGATTTTTATATATACATATATATATGTATAAAATTTATAATGGGATCCACATAAAGTTAGGGAGTGTTCATAGTTACAGTTTTAATACAGCTTCTGCTTTTAAAGATTGTTAACATTTAATTCAGGGACTCTGAAACTTTTTAGGGCTTGCTTCAGTTTCATTGCCATCATGTAGATCTGAAAGGTATGTGCCAAAGAGAAGAACAAATTTCCAGGCACTGAAGAGAGTAGAGCGAGTGACAGATTGGTTTGAAAAAGAGTTGTTGAGCAGGGGGTATAGCGGCAGCACTATGTAATACAAAGCAAAGCCTCAGCTATAGAGAAGTAGCAAGACCAGAAGAAACAAATGAGAAATGAAATGCGTATGGATGTTCCAGAAGGGGAGCACAAGTGACATAAACTTCTCATAAAGCAATATGCAAACTTGGCAGAAGAAAAGCTAACTTGTGCTGCATAGCATCATTCAACGTTGATGAGAGAGGGGAAAACGATCAGTTAAGAGGAAGGGAAAAAGAGATAAACAAAACAATACTGAATGTTATAGTCAATCATATCCCAATTGGGGGAATTTTAATTCAGTTTTTTAATTTGTTTTTTTATTACTTCAGGAACAGTTCATGTTCACTTGAATGGCAATGAAGATGATGTATCCTATTTCCATAACACAAATAATGCCCCCTTGTATTTTATAAGTGTTTTTCTTCTATGCAGTAACAGGAAGATAGTATTTACAGTTACTTGCTCAGCAAAATTTGTGCAGGCCTAGTGTATGTGTTTTTAAGTACATTCATGGAAGAAAATGTTTTTAAGGCCTGTTTTTATGCTTCATTTTTATATACACAAAGCACTGCTTTCATGAAGTGGTAACAGTCCAACATGATATATTGAGATGCTCCTATCAATTCTGAGGGAGCTTTAGCACTTTGCCATTTTTCATACCCCTGTGTTTTTGCTCTAGAACTGTTTTCAATGTATAATGCTAAGCCACAGTCTGAGCTTGGTATTTCTTTATGATGCCTCTCCTAGTTGTTTATGAGATTAAGAGAGGTAGATATGCAGGCATATAACTTATGATTTAGCTCTCAGGTACTCACCAAGTACAGATTTAGCTCTCAGGTACTCACCAAGTCATTAATGCAGTCACTGCTGACATTTGAGTTATCTCTGCCATAAAACATGCAAGGGTCATTAAAAGACCAGGGCTTTTTTAGGTACTCTCCTTCTGTACTCTCAGTAAGTACTAGAGAGTTGTGTTACATGAAATGAAGAAAATGAAAAGTATTATCTTTCCAAACTAATGCAAAATGAAAAAATCCAAAATTCATTATCTCCTACAGACTTGGTCTAGAACCAGTTGTTTAAAGATAACTCTGTAAATACACATATTAATGTATAATTATTTTAAAGCACACAGTAAAACAATATTATAATGGTATTCTGGATGGGAGTTTCAAAAATACCTTATGGAGTTAAGTGCTTATTAATGTTTTAATGATCAGTTTCCTGAGCACTTGCATAAAATATTCACATCAATTAAAATTGCTGAAGTGCATTTTATACTTGCACTGTTTTATTATCAAAACAAAACCATATAAACAGTCATAAACACTATGTTTTAGACAGCTAAATTGGGATATTTCATTCCAGTGTTGACAGCAAACCCGAAAGAATCAAGGCCAGACCTATTTTCTAGCCCTCTGCAGTGCTTTTTGCTTGCACTTTTTTGCTTACTCACAGAATCACAGAATGGTTGAGGTTGGAAGGGACCTCTGCAGATCATCTAGTCCAACCTCCTGCTCAAGCAGGGTCACCTAGAGCATATTGCCCAGGATCACATCCAGACGGGTTTTGAATATCTCCAGGGAAGGAGACTCCACTACCTCTCTGGGCAACCTGTTCCAGTGCTCTGTCACCCTCACAGTGAAGAATTTTTTTCTCAGGTTTAGGTGGAACTTCCTGTGGTTCAGTTTGTGCCCATTGCCCATTGCCTCTTGTCCTGTTGCTGGGCACCACGGGGAAGAGGCTGGCCTCATCCTCTTGACACTCCCCCTTCAGATACTTGTACACGTTGATGAGATCGCCTCTCAGTCTTCTCTTCTCCAGGCTGAACAGGCCCAGCTCTCTCAGCCTTCCCTCACAGGAGAGATGCTCCAGTCCCCTCATCATCGTAGTAGCCCTCCGCCCTTCTTTCTCATAGCAAGTGTTTTGGCTCATGTTCATGTGAGTAATAATCCTGCAAAATGTGATCCAGATTAATGTCTGTATCTTGATGAATGTACATCAAAGCTAGCTGACTGAGCTGACTTTCACCCGCAGAGCTGTTCTGCCATGTCCCCCGATGGTCTGCAGGGTCCCCAGCCGAATTGCTGCAGTACCAGCGCTGATTGGCATAGTGGCCAGAAGAATGAGGGCAGCGTTGAGCTCTGGGTAACATGCTGAGCTCAGTTCTTGGAGCATTGCAAGGACACTGTTTGTCTGGTTGTCCCTTGGAACATCTCTCCATTTTGCCTGCCATCTCTGCAGCTCTGCTTTAAAATTATCAAGGTTGGAACAGTCCAGTTCTGTAAGCATAGTAGAGAGCTCCTGCTATCTTTGTTGTCTGGTAAATGTAATTTATTTGGCAATAGGTACTGAGCAATAAAGTAAGAAGATCAGTGTAACACTTGTCGCTGAAGCTGTGAGATAACATGGTCCGAGAACAGAATGAACAGGTTCTTCTGGTAGTGTGCTTGTGCACTGTAACACCAATGTTACTTTGATGCCTTTTTCTGCCACACACAGAAGTGATTCTTCAGCTTTAACAGCACAGGCCAAATGTTTGACTTGAGCATAAAGCGAAGAAAATCCATCCAAGTGTTTGGAGTAACGTGCAAACATGCGCTCCTGCAGGAGCTGTGGGCTGCGGCGAGGGTCCTGCTGACTTGCCCATGAGTCTCTTAGTAAACTTAAAACTTGACGGCAATTGCTGCCTTGCTAGGCTGGCTCTCTTCTGGTGCTCAGCCACGCGTGAACGATTCCCCCGGTCTCCCGCTCGCTCTCCCCCCAGCTCTGGGCACGGTGGCCTGGCCCTGGCCCTGCTCCCAGCGGGCAGCTGCAGGGCTCGGCGGGGATTGCAGAGGGTGCGTTCTTCCCTCCCCACCTACCCCACACCGGAGCGCACCCCGCCCCCCCACACGCATGCGCATCGAGAAGCGGGCAGGGCCCCTCCACGCCGTCCCCTTAGGGGGCAA